TACCTGGGTAGCACAATTATCACTAGACTAATATTTAGAACTGTCTGAATTGTTAAAGTTTTTGGTTTATGTTTTGCTCCTATTTTCTGGCTTAATTCCCATTTCACGCCTGTGGAGGGAAGTGTGGGGAAATGCACCTTCTCTTACTGACCCCCTGGGGAAGCTGTGGACAGGATGCTTGGAGAATCTGCATTCCTCCAACACTGTGTATGATATTGTCTGTGTACCCGGAGAGTACCCTGTGTACCTGGAGAGTTCACACATGCTTAAGCAACCAAGATTGGGGCTGATTAACTTGGTACTGCTGCTGTATTCTTTTTTTTTTCATATTTGATAGAAACTTTTTCCTTGGTTACAAAACCCAAGCCCATATACAAAGTTAGGAACACTTTTAGAAGCCTCTTTTGAAAGACTATTTTAGTCCCTTTTAACTGAGTTAAAAAAAAATAAAAACAAAGCAAGCTTTCAACACCAATTTGAAAACTGAGAAGTTCAGGAATATACTTAGTTTCCTTTTATCTACAAAATGGTGCAATTCCAATTCCAACCGATAAGGTCACAACAGATTGGATCAGGCCAATGTATAGGTTCTTTTGCATTGTGCTGTGCTATGCTTAGTCACTCAGTCGTGTCTGATTCTTTGGGACCCCATGGACTGTAGCTCGCCAGGTTCTTCTGTCCATGGGGATTCTCTAGGAAAGAATACTGGAGTGGGTTGTCATGCCTTCTTCCAGGAGATCTTCCCAACCCAGGGACTGAACCCAGGTTTCCCTCATTACAGGCGGATTCTTTACCATCTGAACCTCCAGGGAAGCCCATGAACACTGGAGTAGGTAGCCTATCACTTCTCCAGGGGATCTTCCCAACCCAGGATCAAACCGGGGTCTCCTGCATTGCAGGTGGATTCTTTGCCAGCTGAACCACCAGGGAAGCCCACGTCTGCACTACTTGAAGATAATGTTCACTTATGTTAGTTCTCACTTGAAACACCAAAGGAAATAGGAATTGGCACAGGATAGTAAAACCAAATTCTTAAACCCATGTCTCTAGTGTCAATTTTAGCTCTTAGATGAAGGGCAACACATCATGTGTTGAGGCATGGGACTAAATGAGGCAGAACAGCAGGGAAGAGTCATGCCTGCTGGGGATAAACGACGCTATGGCATTATACAAGGCTCATGGTATCTCAACCCAACGGATACAGTCCACTTTTTAAAGCCTGTCTTCAAACGTGCTGACTAATCATGTGTGGGCCCAGACTTTTTCCAGAGGGGTCTGAGCTCAGTAAGGCATCTTGAACTGCCTTGATTACTTTGAAATGATTAAATAGGCACATGGGGGCTTTCTGGACTATCTTTTCTTCATGATGTAGAGTCTAGCTCAGGAACAGCTTTAAGAATTGGTATAGAAAGATAAAGTCACAAGCAGGGCAACTGGTCATCCCGGTAAAGACCTCTCTTTTTAAAGTGCTGAGGGATGCCTATGCTTACATCAGCACTATTCATGACAACTGAGATGGAAACAACATAAATATCCATCAACAGATGAATGGATAAAACATACGGTATATACATACAATGGAATATTACTCAGTCATAAAAGAGAATGAAATAACGCCATGTGCAGCAACGCAGATGGACCTAGAGATTATCATACTAAGTAAAGTAAGTCGGAAAGAGGAAGACAAATATATGATATCACTTATATATGGAATCTAAAATATGACAAAATGAACTTATCTATGAAACAGAAACAGACTCACAGACATAGAGAACAGACTAGGAATTGCCAAAGTTGGGGGAAGGTTAGGGGAGGGATGGACTGGGAGGCTGGGGTTAGCAGATGCAAACTATATTATAGATAGGATGGATAAAACACAGGTCCTGCTGCATAGAGCAGAGAACTATAAACCACAATGGACAAAAAGAACATGAGAAAGCATGTATGTATATGCATATAACTGAATCACTTTGCTATATAGCAGAAATTAATATAACATTCTAAATCAACTATACTTCAATAAAACTAATTAATAAAAAATAAGTGGTTAAGGGAATGGATCACATCTGGTCACTACCATGTCCACTTACATCACAGTGGAGCTGATACTGATACAAAAGAATCTGAATAGGCAAAGGTCAGAGTTGCAAATTTTTGAATCTTCCTGAGCTGACCGTCGTCTCAAGATGGCATATTACCCTATGGATTGGCACCAAAAAGTGACTGGAACTTTTAAACATGACCTCAACTCCTTCCATATTTTCCATAGAATGTTGTTTGGAAAGTCCAGAAAGGGCAGGGAACCAAAGTCCGCTCCCTGAGCAAACAGCATCCCACATTTTATCTGCCCCACTTAGGCACCCCTGCCCTGAGTCACTGGGAGCTGGGATGTCCCTGCTTTCTTCTCCCTTCCTGACAGTGCCAATGCCCAGCTGGCCTCAAACATCAGCTCAGAAACACCCTGAGGAAAGGGATGTGCGGGTAGGGCTGAGAGGAGCTTGCCAGGTCTCTGGAAAGGTTTGCATTTCATAGAAGAGCAGGCTAAAGCCCAGCACAAGTATGTACCACAGAGGACTGGTGACCAACCTTCAGTGTTGCAATAAAGCACATAGCATAGTGACTTGTCCAAGGGCCCGCAGCCCAGCAGTAGGGCTGTGATTACAATTACAGTCCATGGATGGATAAGCCAGCCACTGCCGTCTGTGCCACTGTGCTATCTGGACCCCCCACCCACAGCCCAGCTCCCTAGAAAGGCCCACTTCATAGCAGCAATTTTATTCTGCAGAGGCAGAAGGGAACCCAGCAAAGACACAAACGAGGGTAGAGACAGACATGAAGTGACATATATATATACAGACATGGTGGTGGTGGTTTAGTCGCTAAGTTGCGTCCATGTGTCCAACTCTTGCGACCCCACGGACTGCAGCCCACCAGGCTCCTCTGTCCATGGAATTCTCCAGGCAAGAATACTGGAGTGGGTTGCCATGCCCTTCTCCAGGGGATCTTTCTGACTCAGAAATGGAATGAAATGGAATCTGCCTCTCCTGCACTGGCAGGTGTATTCTTTACCGCTGAGCCACGAGGGATTTCCATATATTCCCACACACATACTGTTGTAAATCAGAATAAAGAATATAAAATGCAAAAGGATCTCAGAGGTTAAAATCTATGTCGTGAGCTGCAACAGCTCAAAAGTGCAGGGAGCCTGTGCATCTTATACCTACTGGCTCCTCTGTACTAGCTCTCCTCATCTGGTTACCTTGCTGTGCGCTTGATAAATAAAGATAAGATTAATTTAAGAAACAGTTTTCCCTTAAGAAACTCATCACTCAATAAGAAGTGACAGAGATGTGAATAATGCAGAACAGAGTGGTATGTACTATGCAAATATTTATGCGGTGGGGGAACAGGGAAGACAGAATAGAAGTTCTTAGATTCTCATAGGGCAGTGAGACAAGTGCACACAGAATAAGCTAGAGAAAATGCAGCTCTCTCCTGTCTAGGCTGCTCTGGACAGAGGTGAGACCTATCATGCCTTTTGGGGCTCTGTCACACCAGGCTAGTCTTGGGAGCCTGAGAAATAACTAGAGCTTTCATAGTCCTCTCTAACCAACTTCTGGTTGAGAGAAATATTTCTCTGCGTTACCAAGCAGACAGGAGCATTCTCAAGTTTTCACACGAAACAACTACTTTGTAAATCCAAATGCAAACTTCACCAAGTACTTGGCAGGTCCAAAACAGCCGTCCTCTCTCCATCAAGGGAGCAGGTGTTTTGCAGGAATTTCTTCCTAACAGTTTCCTCCTCGCACCTATCAGAGCTAAACGTTCCAGAGCCCGGATTAACTCACTTTCTTTCTAGTCACCCCCCTAAAAGGTGCTTAGGACCAGAGGCACTGATCCCAGCTGATGAGTGAAACTGACAAGCAGGGCAGCTTGTTAAGAGAGGCAGTCGGGGCGGCAGACTCCACCCGAAGCAGCCTGACTGCAAAGTGCACCTGTCCCTCCTGGGAAAAGAATGTGGATTCCATTCCTGAAGCCTGCACATCACAGGTGATGAGGACTGACTACCAGAGCAGGCAGCGAAAGGGTGGGGGGTGAGAAGAGACGATCAGGTGGCCCTGCCCCCACTTTGGGGTTGGGGGTGGTGGCAGCGAACACTGTTGCTATAACTCAGACACACAGGAGATCCCCAGACAGGGCCCCAGAATGGCCTGCCCTCTGTGGATCCTGCTTGTTACCCAGGAGCCAAGGCCGTAGTCATGGAAAGCATCTGGCAGCAAATGGAAGAAAGTCAGGACCCCTGTCACTGGGGGCCCCTGGGTCTACACGTAAGGTCCTGAGGATGCCTGGGAGACAGGCATGGCCCCTGTCGGTGGCCCCTTTAGGTTGGAGAAAAAAACGTGCTTGCTATGGAGCAGCTTCCCCTCTGAAATTCACAGAAATATTCACCAGAGATGGTGGAAGGCAGTGAGGCAGTCAGAGGGCCCCAGACATCAGCCAGCCCAGCACTGTTCCCGACCACAGGGTTAGAGGGGGAAGCCAGGGCCAGAGAGGGAGAGACTCGCTGGGTCAAGGAGGCCCCACCAGAGTCCGCATGGACTCCGAGCCACTGGACTCCCAGGCCTGCGCCTGTCCTGCCAAACTGGGCAGCCTGGACCTCTGCGGGGCCTTCCCATCCTGTCTCACCTCATCACGCTGGGTGGAAAGACACCGTCTGTGTCCTAGGTCATCACCTTGACCTTCCACGTAAGAAAACAGAGGTGGAAAAGGAAAAGTGGCTCATGCCAGACCACAGCTGGTACCTGACCTGGCAGCAGGTTTGGGGACCCTTTGCCTAGGGCTCACCCCACCACATGCCTGGGTCTCCCTAAGGAAATGCCCCAAGTCTCAGCCCAAGCCACTCCCTGGTTTCCCTCCTGGAAGATGTGCAGAGCATCCAAAGGCTCACCCAGATGACCCCTGCGTTGCCATCCCCAGCCCCAGAGGCTGAATGTCTTTACCTTCAAATGCTCGGGCAGCATCCACGAGGTGGGTCCAATCTAACCCTGTGGCCGTGTCTGGCAGGGGCATCAGGCCAGGATCTGCGCACTTGGACTTATCCGATAAGGACCCATCAGAGAACCAGAACTCATCTAGACAGAAAAAAACCCAGAGCGTCAGTCAGATAGCAGTGTAGGTCCTGGCTGGGCCTTCAGAAGGGCCCAGGGGGGTTCTGGTCCCAGGAGAGAAACAGACATCCCACTGCTGTCTGTGCAAGATCAGGGCTGAGGCTCCCACGAACCAGAAAAGCAGAGGTGAGCTCCTCCTGGGCGGGCTCCTCTGGAGGATACTACCTGGGTCTGACCACCCTGAGGATCACTTCCTGTTCTCCTCTGGATGACATCCCCGTGGGAAGAGTGTTGCAAGCCTCTGCTGTAAAAACAGTCTGGTACAATCTCTCTTGTACATTTTGCTATGTATAAAAATGGTGATTGAATTTCATTTCTGACTTAATGAGATGGTCTGATCAGTGGCTAAACCAGAACCCACTCCCCATCCAGCACTGAGTATTTGCTATTCTGTACAAAGACACCTTGTACACTTCTTCTCCTAAACTCTCATCACAGGACGTGAAGTGCTTATGTCACTAGTCATACTGGCTGTTAAGAAGTCATTATGCATCTGCAGACACATTTCCCAAAGGCTAGAGCTTCTCTAACACGCCTTTTCTGGACCTGCCCAGAACCATGGCACACAGCTGCTCATGGACACATCTGACTAATTAGACCAATCAAAATAATGACCACCTGGCTGTCTGAGCCTGCAATTAAGTTATGGAGGGGCTGTAATTAACCAAGTGCACCTGTAATTTCCGCTCCCATATCCTATGGGGTGGCTGTGAAATGCTGGCATCTGGACCAGGATGGAGGGAGCCTGGGATTTGCCCTTGAAAGACACTAACACTCCCTGTCCAGCACCTTCCACATGAGCTCTGAGCCTACCTCAAGCAGCTGCAGTTTAAAGCGAAGCCACTCTGCTGTTAATACCACCCCACTCAGAGGTGAAACCATCACCCCCTCCACTTATTGCTTTTAAAGATCTTTTGGATGTGGGCCATGTTTTAGAAGTCTTAATTGAGTTTGTTACAATATTGCTTCTGTTGTATGTTCTGGGTTTTTGGCTGTAAGGCATGTGGGATCTTCACTCCCCAACCAGGAATGGAACCCACGCCCTCTGGATTGAGAGGTGAAGACTCAACCACTGGACTGCTAGGGAAGCCCTGCCCCCTCCATTTTGAAGGGAACCCAGTGACAGGGACTTTATCAAGGTCACTCCTGCCCCCCTCCCCCTCCACTTGCTTGCGCTTTAAACTACCAACCCTTCCAGCATGTTCCCTGCATGAGGTTCTCTGTCCTTGTCTGCTCCTCTCCCGACGGCCCCTCTGAACCCAGGGAGGCACCAGAGGGCAGAGGCTGGACTGACTCCACCCAGGTCCCATCCTTACCCAGAGTTTAAGGTTCAACCCCCCAGGGAGCAAGATCAGGAAGCCTGGGGACCTTCAGTCATTTGCCAATCACTTCCTTTATCTCAAAGACAGCAGCTAAAATAGGTTTTCTGCACCAAGTGTAGAAAAATTATTTGACTTGGTGGCAATTACTCTTGCCACTGATTTCCCTGCAGCTGAGTTTGTCAGGGATACACACACACACACACACACACATACACACACACATATATTTGCATGCATGTGGTGACTCTGGGAAGGGCGCCCCAGGGCTGGCTGGAACCCAGCGTGCATGAGGCACCCCCTCAGCCCCTGCCTCTCCTCCCCTCACTGGAGAGGAAAACATCAGGGCGTGAAAAATTATTCAGGCGAATGAACATTCCTACAGAAAGTATACTCTCTTGGTCACGTTCATTTTGCTAAGAAATGTCAACTTAAGGATTTTCTTTGCTTTTGTAAAGAAATAGTCCTTCACCTGAGCTTTTCGCATCTTAGAGCCTAAAATCAAACCCAATACACATTCTGTGTGCTGTGTGCTTTCTCCTCGGCGCCACCAGACGATGCTGACTGGCGATAACACAGGGGTCCCCAACCTCCAGGATCGAATGCCTGGTGACTTGAGGTGGAGCTGATGTAACAATAATAGAAATACAGTGCTCAGTAAATGTAATGTGCTTGAATCATCCTGAAACCATCCACCCATACCCCCGCCACTGGTCTGTGGAAAAACTGTCTTCCCTGAAACCAGCCCCTGGTGCCCAAAAGGCTGGGGCCTGCTGTTCTAACAGGAGCCAGGCAGAAAGGAAAAAGCAGCAGAGACAGGAAAAGGGGCCAGTGCAGGGAGACAGCAGTGCTGGGCTAGAGTCCTTCGTACCCTCGTCCTGTCCTTACCGCTCCACGGGCTCAAAGAGCATCTCTCCCAAGAGCCCGGCGGGGTACTGACAGACGAGACCTGATCGTCCTGGGCTAAAGATTAGGCTCTGATTTTACGTGGCACAAATCTGAAGTGTGGTGGTCAGAAGCTTCTGCCCAGAGTGAGTGAGGTGTGTGTGGGTGAGTGCACCCTGCGATCCCACAGCAGGGCTCATCACAACCACAGGCAAAGCCAGGACATCCTTTGAACATTCTCCAACTCTGGTGGAGAACCAGGAAAGAAGGGATGTGTGCATGCTAAGGTGCTTCAGTAGTGTCCAACTCTTTGTGATCCTACGGACTGTAGCATGCCAGGCTCCTCAGTCCATGGGATACTCCAGGCAAGGATACTGGAGTGGGTTGCCATGCCCCCTCCAGGGGATCTTCTTACCCAGAGATCGAACCCGCATCTCTATGCCTCCTGCATTGGCAGGCGGATTCTTTACCACTGAGCCACCAGGGAAGCCTGGAAAGCACCATACACACAGCTATATTTAAAATAATCAACAAGGACCTATTGTAAAAAATAAATAAAAATAAATAAAAAACAATTTTTAAAAATACCTGGTTTTTTATAATGTTTGGAAAATCATGTAATTGGGTAAGGCTTCAAACCACCAAAAGCTCTTTATAATATTTGTAACTGACATTAGGTTCACCCTGGTGATGTTTTGCTCTGCGCCCGCTGTATTCCAGGTCCCGGCAGGTACCATATCACCAGCACCCAGGGATGGAATAACCTGTAAGATGTGGGTTCCGCCTCTGAGGAGCCGTCAAGGAGCAGATGAGTCCTGCAGCTGCTGCCCTGCAGTCTGGGAAGTACTTGCAGGAGCTAGCCCCTGCGCCTGGAGCAACCAGAGTAGGTGTAAGCAGCTTGTTCCCTGAGCTTTCCAGATGGGGAGGACAAAGAATGACTTGGGTGCCAAAGCCTGTTGCTTCTGGGCCAGTTCTCTCAAGCCAGCGCTACTCTGGAGTCCACCCCGCTCTTCTGGCCAGCCCAGGAAAGTCAGGATTTCCGAAAGACTGCTGCAGTTCAGACAGCGCTGCCTGGGCCTCTTGCTCTCTTGGCCTGGACACTGATCGTGTGGCTTCCTGTTTGTTTATTCCAACCCTGAAATCTTGGGGACCATCTATTAAATCTGACTTTACTGCTGTTGTTATAAATGCTGAGGAGCCTTCCTGACAGCATTTCCTGGTGGTCAAATAGCTGTGGTTTCACAATTACTCTTCAGAAACCGAAGGCTGTTCATTACAGGGGAGGCTGAGAACATTTGAAATAGAGAAAGAAATGCCACATGGAGTCAGAGAACACCCTGCCTCTAACGTCTGTGGATACTGTCTGCGGGGCAAGCGAAAGGCACGCACGCTGAGTCTCCTGATGGGGTCTATGGCATCTTGAGTGGCTACTAAATTAGAAGGAAATTACTGATTTCTTTTACTTCTATTAAATCTTCCGCATGCCTTTTAAACTTCAAGGATCATCCTTTGTGAGGGGCGTAGGTGTCACAACTATAGGATCTTGGAACACACAGAACCTAATACTCTTCTTATTTTCCAAATTTAAGAATTCTTATTTGTCTTCCTACCTATGAAGATTTCTACCATTTTCTGGAGGGTTTTAGAAATCACATAAAAAATCATGAGTTCTCTTTAAACATGCTCTGAACCTGCCAACGCTTGGGACTACACTGAGTGAAGCCAGGTAAGCACGTGATCTAGGAGGGGAAAGATGCTATGAGCACCTTTTGGTAGCTTTGGTCTTGGGACCTGTGAACTCTGTGTCAAAGTTTCCCACTTTGTTTTCCTATCTGGGCCACTAAAGGAATTTTACTCTGAAACCAGTGATGGAAACAAAGGCCCTAAATATAATGCAGAAACATCTCAGATGTCTTTCAATTGTTTGAGCAAGTCATTTTTTTGTATCTGCAAGTTGAAGACAGAACGATATAGCACATTCAGGGTCCTCCCCACCTAGGAAATATATATGAATTGTAACATGAATCACACCTAAAATGTGCCTATTAAGTGTCATCTGTCTCCCAAGGCTGGATTAAGATCCTGGTCTCAGGAGAAAAAAGATTCTGAGACAGGCCCAATTTTGAGACATGCAGAAGCTAAAGCTATCAGGAGAAGCCTGTGACTGGTAATTACATGGAGAAAAGGGGTAGCAATGAGGTCTCACGAGATTCACTGTGAAAAGACGGGCTTGCCAACCCTCCCTCGTACTGTCCTTGGTCCAAATTAGGAACAGATCCAAACAAGTCTCTATGAGCAGAAGGTCAGATGCTTGCAGGAATAATGATGGTGAAACTTCAGAACACATGTGCCTTCTGCGTATTCTAACTCCACCTCTGTGGCCATTTAAATATCTGGTGCTACCTGCTCTGGCAGCACTAATCTAACTTCCAGTCCAAGACATGAAGCTAAGTCCTGAAACTAAGAGAAACACCTAGGCAACCCCAAGTAGTCCTTGTTTCTCGCTCCAGACGTCTGCTGGGCACAAGATTTCATGTGTCCATTCTATTTTGTTCCAGGGTCAGCCTGTTGGAACTACTCTCAGAGTGAGATCTGCTTACCGGGGCTTGTGATCAGAAATCACAGAAAGCAAAGGATGATGGATATCTGCCTTGAGTAGGCACAACAGAGATAACCACACAGGTCATCCCACACTGGGGTATCCAGGGGGAGTCAGGGGTCCCAGGGGTGAGCATCTTCCCAAAGACGACCAGGTCCTTAGAGCTGAACCTCTTGGTGGGAAGGGAGGAAAGAATCACAAGCTTTTGGGGGAAGACATACTAATTCAAATTACTCCCAGCTACCTTACTGACATATTGTCATTCTATTCATCAAACTGACAAAATTTTTTCTGAGTAGGTTGTTAAGTTTAGAAATTGGAGGAATCACATGCCCTGATGGTTCAATGGTAAAGAAGCTGCCTGCCAATGCAGGAGACATGGGTTAGATCTCTGGATCTGAAAGATCCCCTGGAGAAGGAAATGGCTACCCACTCCAGTGTTCCTGCCTGGGAAATCCCATGGACAGAGGAGCCTGGTGGGCTTTGGTCCATGAGGTCACAAGGAGTTGGACACAACTTAGCAACTAAGAAACAACAAAAACATGGCCAGATAAGATTTCACTTGAGAAGAGCAAACAGCAGGGCCATTCTTACTGCCTTTCCTAGAGGAGCAGACAATGGATTCAAGTCAGGCAGTTTTAAACTTAGGTAGCAAACAGTGTCTCCTGCCTGCTTCCAACTGTGCCTTTGAGCATAGTAAAATAAAAATACAGTTCTTTAGTAGGTAAGTGGAGAACTAAATTGGCATATCTAGATAATAGAACAGTAGTCAGCACTAAAAGGAAGTGAGCTATGAGGCCATGGAAAGCCATGGAGGGACACTGGATGCATTTTACTAAGTGAAATACTAAAGAAGCCAATCTGGAAAGTCTATCTCCTGCACGATCCCAACTATACGACAATCTGGAAAGGATACAACCATGGAGACGCAAAATGACCAGTGATTACCAGGAGTTAGGAGACAGGGATGAACAGGGTGAGCACAAAGGAATTTTAGGGAGATGAAAATATTCTGTGTAATACTATAATGGTAGATATGTTGTCATGCATTTGTTCAAACTCATAGAATGAATGACAAGAGTGAACCCTAACGAAAACTATGCACTTTGGGTAACGAAGATGTGTCATGTTCTGTAACGCAGGCCCACGGTGAGGGGTATTGATAATGGGAAGACTGGGCCTGTGGGGATAAGGGGTGTGTACGTGGGAATCTATGTGGCTTCTGCTCACTTTTGCTGTGACACTAAGATGGCTCTAAGTAACTAATGTTATTAAGAAAAAAAGTTAAACAAAAAAGAGAATATACAGTTTACCCTTGAGCAATGTGGTGGTTAGGTGTGTGGACTTCCCATGCAATGGAAAATCTGTGTATAGCTGTATAGTTGGCCCCCATATCTGAGGTGCCACATCCCCTGATTCAACCAACCATGGAGCATACATGACTGTGATATTTACACTGGAAAAAACTTGTGTGTAAGTGGACCCCTGCAGTTCAAATCTGTGATGTTTAACGATCAATTGTGCTTTCTCCATGTGAAAGCAAATGAATGTAAGAACTATATTAACATTTATCCCATAGATTTCACCATCACACCTCAAGCATTTTAAGTGAATGATATAACATTTGCAAGAAAATAGTTTTACTGGTTTCAGGAAAGCTTTTAAGAGGCCATTAAAGTCATCTATTTACAAAAAAGGACAAACATTTGCAGAAATATTAGGGTATTAGAATATGTCTGTCTGACCTTAATATCTTTATCAAGAAAGAGTATAAAGGTTTCTCCAGTTTGGGCAAAAGGACTTTTCATAACAAGCAGGATATTATATTACTTAAAGAAATAGATTAAGAATTTTATGAGACCAGGTTCATTCCCAGTTATGTTAAACATTAGAAAGATTATTAGAGCTTTTATGTCATTTAGCCTGGGACTTACATGTGTATTATGAGATTCAAATTGGTTTTAAAGGATTCTAAAGATAATGCTTTCTATGAGGAAATTCAAACAACAACAAAAAAACCCCTGATGATGAATATATTTGATTAGATCCTCATTCTTTCTGCACAACAGAAATTAACTATGAACAAAGAAAACAAAGCTAACTAATGTTAAAAAAAAAATCACCCTTCAACACTGACACGTTAATAAAGAACTAACACTACATAAAAAGGAAAGATTTTAGGATCTGAAGGAAAATCATTTAGAAAGTATCTAGCCAACCCATGGCTAATATATTAAGAGTGAACTGGACACAGAGAATCTAAGTGATGGGACTTGGACCCACATATCCTGATGCCCAGGAGCCACCTTCACCACCACCATCAACAGGTCTTAAAGATTAGGAAGCAGCAGACATAGAAGGTAAGGAAATCAACCTTCCTCCCTGCATGCTGACCACCAGGAAATCTGACCTGTGCCACCATTTTCTCTTTATAAAATCGAGTTTTAGACATTTTTTCTTTATAGACATAATAGCCCAGTTATAGTAGAGAGGTTAGTTTTTACCTCAATAAAAATGTTTAATGAGGGATTTTCAATTTTCTGCAAAATTGGCAGTAGTGCTTAACTTTTGAAAAATGTCCACTTTGGGGCTTTATCACCTTTAAAAATTACTAAAAAAAAACCACAAACACCCAACCAAATGGCATCTATAGATTAAAGAATAAGCAAGTCCGTCAGCCTCTGTAAGAGACCCACCCCAGAGAGCCCGCGAGGCCGGCGCGGTCCGCCCTGGGCACTCACTGCGCAGGCTCCCCATACTGGGCGCAGGCTGGGTCCGGGGCGGCAGGGTGCTACGGTAGGGCGGGGTGGTGCTGAACAGGATGTCGTTGGGCAGCGCCTGGTCAAGGATGGAGCTGCGGGAGCTGCCGAAGGAAGAGTCCCTGCGGTGGCTGCAGATGCTCTCGTCCGAGAGGGTGCGGTACAGCGCGCGCCGTGGAGACAGGCTCCCACAGAACGAGAACTAGGGGTTCACACGGGGGAGAGAGGAGGACAGACGTCAGAAAGCTGGAAGCGTGGAGCTCCTCTAACTCGGGCGGGTCCCGAGCCTGCCCTGCGGGCGTCTCTGAGCTGTCCCCAGGAAGGCGCAGGGCTGCGGCTCAGCGATGTTGCACTAGACACTCGGGTCACAGAGGCAAACACACAAAGGCTTCCTGCAGTTATTGGATTTGGATGTTTTCCTCCTCTGACGTTCTGTGAAATATTACCAGGAATTAGGCATGCACAGCTTTATTAATTCTGAAATGTTAAATGGCAGCTCCATAACCATATAGCCACGGCAGCTTCTGGGAATACAGAAAGTTGCCATTCCAGGCAATAGTTACTTGAAACTACACTGACTGCTGGTTTGATTTTAATTAGAAATGACTGCATCTTAATATTAGGTGATTGCTGTACCAATCACCTACATGTGAAGTTCAATCTAATCTAGATAATAATAATAATATCAAGTGTTTGAGCAGAGCAGCTTTCTAAGTCAAACAAACAGGTTCAAGAAAGACAGTATCAGTCCAGGAAAATCTTATTGTCTACACACTTTAAAGTAACACTCATAAAGTTTATTATGGTTATTGGAAATTGAGTTACAGTAATCAATTATAATTGGATTTAAAAAAACCATTAAAAGTATTGTTAAATCATAGATAGGGTAAGGAAAATTCACACTAGAGAAGCAAGCAGTCAAAAACTCAAGAAAAATTTAATCAAATCTGAGTTTCCAACTCCTATATTCTGAACCACATTCCTTATTCCTTTTACATCAATAATAGTAAAAGCCAGAATGTTTGCATCAAGCAAATATAGAAATGGCTATTTACGTTTGCCAATGCAGCCACAAGGCTAAAAATATTTCTATTGTATGTGTTCCTTCCATTCTGTTGACGCTGTCCAACTGATGAATGGGAACCAGTGTGTGTATGAACTACAAAGTTTACACCATGAAAAGAAGGTGGTTTGTCTTAGAAGAAAAAAAATGTCAAGGAGAAGTTCGTTCCTATTAAAAGAAAAGCCATTTGCATTTTTGGTACAACAGCCTGCACCCAAGCTTATACAGTACCATATACATGATTGGATACAAGTTAAAAAAAAAAAGAAAAAAAGACTCATTCTGTTGAATTCTGCTGGGATTCCCTCTTCACACACAACCAGCAGGCTCTTCAGAACTTGATTACAGACCCATTAGATTAAAGCAGCTTTGAGGTAGCATCTCATTAGACTGTTACTCTCAGAACACAATTAGGTTAATTGCAGCATTGTTTTATTATAGGGAAGATAGGGGAGCACAAAGACTTGCTGTTTATCCTGATCACAGTCATGACAGCAATGCCCGACTTTTTTCTTTTCATCTGGACAAGAATGTGCTGAATTAGCAGGGAGAAGGCTGCATTCCATTGCTGACTGCCACCAAATATTTATGGGCACGTCACACGTCACCATTCGGGGCCTCAGTTACTTGCCAAAAAAGGTTGGGCTAGATTACCTGTGAGTTCTTTTTCATACTTTCTACTCATTATCAAAGTGGCTTGAGAGACTGTAAAAATAATAAAGCTAAAACGAATAAGGACAGTAAGTAATCTGACGGTAGCAACAGGCAGCAGAGTACCTAACTCCTGCCTGTTTGTGGGACAGGATGACGACACAGTAGGATGGCTTAGAGAACCTCTCCTTGCTACAGTTCTGGAGCAAAAAAGTCAGGCAGTGGGAGTTTCAACAGCTCCCGTTTCTGACTGCCCGTCATGGATGGGTCCCGTGCAAGGCTAGTTCTTATGTCTGCTATAAGCCTATACATTCTGCAGTACACGTATCAGTGCCTCCTTTTTGCAGAGGATGACACTCGGCCAAGAAGTTAGGTCACATGTACAAAATCACATGGCTAAAAAATAAAAAGGTAAATCACACAATCAATGCACAAAACCACACGGTGAAAAAGAAAAACAAAAATGAAGAAAACACGCCACATGGCCGACCCTCCTTGCAGCTAAGAGGTGAGGCCAGGCCTGCCCGCTCAGAGCTCCCTCTGTCCGTCCAGAAGTCTCCATTCCTGACCTCTCTCGGCCTTACTCCGCTTCCTGGTGGAATAACAGTGTGAAAACGGCCCTGGGAGTCCTGGTGTTTCTGGTAACTTCAAACCTACACAAGTCACTGACCTTCCTCCTCCCCTCCTCCACCGAGGGGCTGTCAGGAAGCATCAGTTTCAGGAAGTCTTCTTTCGAGAGCACGTGCTGAGTTTCTGAGACAGCGTCTCCCACCACTGCTTGCTGCTGAGCGGCCGAGGACAGCAGGTCCATCTCACTGTACAGCCTGGGAGGAAACGAAGCGTGTGTAAAGTGCCTCTCCCCTTAAGAACTAAAACCCAGTCTCCAGCTTCAATCACCACGTTCACACACACACACACACCCGGCTCTTAATTATTGAGCGGGTTCACTTTCGCCACATCTCCTCTGGATCCCCATGCCATCTCATATTTGTGAAATGAGCTTGACGGCAGAGTTAGGGTTCTGAATAATTCAGAGGCAAATCAGATCCCCAAAGCCCTGAATGAGAAAACAGAAAGTCAACTTCTCAAACAAGGCTGTGTTTTCCCGTTCCTAATCTGTATCAGAAAACACAGCTTCAATAATTCATCAGAGATTATCCTGTGTTCTCTGAAGGAAGCCTGGTGCTTCTCAGGAAACTGAGAGAGCCTTTCTCTTGTGGCTGGACAACCACACCCCACCGTCCTTGCAGCAACACAGAAAGCAGGACCCCGGGGGGCTTGACGTTGAAGAGCAATCGATCTGGGCACATGCCAAGCAGTTTTATTATCAGCAATTTCACAGAGCCGTTTGAATAAATAAAGAAGCTGTCTCCCTTATCAGTGTATAGAAATGTATTTATGGACAACAAAAGACTAGCTGAATTACTGTTTTCACTCCTTTTCCAGGGAAAAAACTAGGGAGTTATTTTTTAAAAGGTTTGGTCTGGAACATTCCCAAAGACATGGTGAGTACAGAACCAGGGGCTGGACCGTCAGCAGAGACGGATGGGACCCGTGACCCAGAAATGTGATGCTGGTCCAGGGGGGCAGGCCACAGAGGATGACCTGTGTCTCTATCCTGTGTCACAAAGGTCACCCTATTTCTAAAGCAAGGCTATTGTGCCACAGGGGAATGGCCTGCTGAGAAGTTATCAGGATATGAAACACACAGACCTGCTCAAAATTAAGAACTATTTATCTGAAATTGCTACAGCTCTTGCTTTGTTCTCGAGCTAGGTGTGGTGTCCCCAACTTTTTGGCTCTGGAAGCACCAGCAATGCTGATGACAGGAATATAGTGACTGGGGCAGGAACTATAAAAATCTCTAAATGTGACTGAAGATCTGGTTGGCTTGCAGGATGGCAGGGCATGAAGACGGAGCTAAAAAAGAAGCCAAGACCCAGAAGGATAGGGTTTCTGCACAAAAGCCATGTGGGAAAACTGACCCTGGGGTTTTTGTGAAGAGGACCTCAGATATGCACAGCTGTGGGCCCTGAGATCTGGGGTGGAGGCATGCAAGAGTCCAGGTCCTACTTACTCTGGGAAAGACACAGGGGAGAAAAACTCAAACCCAGGTCTTACCAATAACTGCTGAATGAAAACATAAATACCTAGAGTTGCTGATAAAACGTACTATCCCAGTTTCCCTATGTTTTTGAATAAAAATTGCTAGCATTTTCTGCTAACTTAAGTGACTTTATTAAAATTACCAAACGATATGTCAATAAGTGGGCTTCCCAGGTGGTACAGTGAAATAATACATCTGTGAACTGCCTATGAAATACTGCAGTTAGCAGCTGCTACACTTTCTCTCCTCCTTGAGATGGGATATTCTTGAAAACGGAATCTTCGATGTAATTAGCTTTGTATCTCTAATGCCTAGTGTAATTCTCCACGTGGGTAAACCCAGCATGGTGGTGACCGCTACCAAGTGTCCAGAGTATTCTCGGGACATCGAGGGTCTGCAGATGGTATGAGCTGCACTGTGCTCAAGGCACACATTCACGGCTGCTTAATACGAGCCAGGAAGTAGCTCTTGTTTGCTGCACTTTAAAATATAAGATTATATTATTAACAAAAATAATCAACAAGGGTCCACCTATAATATGACTTTGTTATTTAGTCACCAAGTCACATCCAACTCTTTGGTGACCCCATGGACTGCAGCCCGTCAGGCTCCTCTGTCTGTGGGATTCTCCAGGCAAGAATACTGGAGAGGGTTGCTATTTCCTTCTCCAGGAGATCTCGCCAAACCAGGAATTGAACCTGAGTCTCCTGTGTCTCCTGCATTGGTAGATGTGTTCTTTACCACTGAGCCACCAGGGAAGCCTCAGAATATAACTTTAAAGATGGGCAATTTCTGCATCATGAGAAACTTCAGGGGGGCACATTTATATTTTGTGTATATTGAGACACGAATATTTGCTAATTCTCAGTGGGACACACATGATGCTTGGCTGATCTTTTTTTAAGTATATCTTTCAGTGATTTGGTAACACATTATTTTGACAAATCTCAATATAGTTGGCAAGTCCTGGAGGTCCACAGTCATGATGCATTACCATGTCTGCGTTAGATGGACGGTACATCTGACAGGATGAGCTGGGCCCGTGAGAAAAGCCTTGGGGAGGCCTGGGTTCGAGTCCCAGCACCCAGCTGGTGTGATAAGGGGCAATAACCCCTCTGCCCTCCAGAGACACGAGCCCCTTACTCACAATACTCCCCATGCTGGCTCTCTTTTATGAAATCACTGCTGCTAAACAAGTGTTACAATGCACCAATGCCGAGGCTCTCTAGGGAGAAATGTCCAAGTGGGCTTCTTCACCCTTTCCTGGCTCTTCAAGGAGACCCCTAGGGAAGATACAGTCTCACAATGATGTGCAAAGCACTTCTACAAATAACTGGAGGAACTCAGGAGCCTCAGAATAGACCCCTGTGAAGCACTGGAAGACTATCAGACAGAAGTACCACGTGACCACAGGAACACATGTTCATAAAATGCGGTTATCTCTAAAAAATTCCTTCTAAACAACTCCTTTGCAATTATTGGCATGATGGGTTTTTTTGGGGGGGAAAAAAAAAGACTGCATGTTCAATTTCCATTTTATTTTAAATTCCTATTATTTTTTAAAAAATGAGTGGTGTATGATCTTTTATTTATATATGTTTTGATGCATGGCACATGCGCCTCTTGCATTGGTAGCATGGAATCTTAACTTCTGGACCACCAGGGAAGTCCTCTATGTTCAAGTTTAGCATTAAAATGAATTTTAATTTAGAAGGCAATATCATGCTAGACATATTTAAAAAGTGATCTTACGGGAAAAAGTGATCCTAGCTCATGGACTAAACTTAAGATCTAGAAGAGCTCTCTGAAGATAGCTGTAGCTCCCGTGCACCCTTCAAGCTGATGACAAAAGCAAACACAGCAAAAGACAACGATGTCGTCATTTAGTGCATGTGAAGGTTAATTTTTAAGGCTGTCCTTAAAAAATGTGAGCTTCCCTGATAGCTCAGCTGATAAAGAATCCACCTGCAATGCAGCAGATCCTGGTTCGATTCCTGGGTCGGGAAGACCTGCTGGAGAAGGGATAGGCCGCCTACTCCACTGTTCTTGGGCTTCCTGTGTGGCTCTGCTGGTAAAGAATCTGCCTGCAATGTGGGAGACTTGGGTTCAAAAGGGAAAGGCTACCCACTCCAGTATTCTGGCCTGAAGAATTCCATGGACTGTAGAGTCCATGGGGTCCCAAAGGGCTGGACACGACTGAGCGACTTTCACTTTTTTCACTTCAAAAAATAAGCAAGTCAACAGCTACTATAAATGGCCCTGACCAGCCTTGATTTGCAGTCTCAAAATGTGATTGCTTTGTCTCTTCAAAGACACAGGGCAGTTTTCACATGTGTTAAGGAATGGGTTACCAGTATGTTTTAATCTTTTCTTTTCTCCAAAAGATACAAAACATCCCTCCCTACTTGCCCCTACAAATGTGACAACTGAAAGGAAAATCAAAGTCATGTTAAAATTCGGGGGAATAGAGACTTTCCTGGAGGGCCAGTGGTTAAGAATCCACCTTGCAATCCAGGGGATAGGGTTCTATCCTGTCCCACGTGCCGCAGGGCAACTAGCCCGAGGGCGGCAACTCCTGAGCATGCACGCTGCAACTAGAGAGTCCCTGTGCCTCAATGAAAGATCCCCAGTGCTCAGCTAAGACCTGGTGCAGCCAAATCAATTAATTCATTCATTTATTTTTTAAAAAATTAGGTGGGATTTTTTTCTTTCGTGCTATCACACAACACCTTCAGGAAACACACAGGCTCTGTGGGAATTCACAGTGTCCTTGACCTTAGTTATTTACAGGATCTATACTCACACCATGGGCTTCCCTCGTGGCTCAGATGGTAAAGAATCTGCTTGCAGTGCAGGAGACCCGAGTTCAGCCCCTGGGTTGGGAAGCCTCCCTGAGGAGGACATGGCAACCCACTCCGGTATTCTTGCCTGGGGAATCCCAAGGACAGAGTAGCCTGGCAGGCTACAGTCCATGAGGTCACAAAAGAGTCAGACACAACCGAAGCAATTTAGCAAGCATACTCACACCATCACTAGCACACAACCCTGACTTTTCTATTGCAGACAGCTTTTTGAATATAAAAACGAGGAATAGAGAGCTGTTTTAAAGTTACATGAGAATATCAAGGAAAGAGAGGACTTTTCAACCAATGCCAACATTTAAAGAGTTTTACAAAGATGTTTCTCAATTTTTCTGTTTGAGAAGACTTGTTTCTACTGGGGAAAAAATACATTAGCTTAATCCACACCCCAGACACCCAAGGCTGCCAGCAGATACCACCTTACCCCTGACACTCAGCCACTTCAGGCTCCTCAGGGGGTGGGCTGTCTTCCGATTTCTTCCAGCCGATGATGTACTTGTTCACTGCCCCCTGCCTGTGGTAGGGCTTGGACATGGACCCTGGGGGCTGTTGACCACTGCCGTGAGTTACGATGTAGACTTTGGACGTATCCAGAGACCCGCTACTTTTCGAACAGTGAGCCGAGGGGCTTCCTGAGTGGTGTGAGCCGCTGGGGAAACAAAAGACAGAAGCCGTGATGGGACCAGATCTCAGCAGTGAGCGCACGTCACCAACCTTGGAGCCGCCACGCTTGACTCCTGCCCTCCGTGAGCAACAGCGGGCAGATGCGGCCGTCTCTCTGCTGAGCCTTTCTTCCCACAGGCTGAGGATGTTCACGTGCAAAGCTATACGCTTGTGGCCAGAAGGGTGTTCAAAGCACAATTAGGGGAAACCTAAGAGAAAAACGGGTGCCACACTGATGCCTTCAAAGAAAAGAAACTCGAATGGTAAATAAACATAAGAGAAGCGGCTCAGCCCAGGGAAGCGCCCGTGCAAACCACAGCAGAGTATCGGGCATGTTCTCCAGACTGGCAAACATGGGAAGGCCTGATGACGAGTGCCCAGTGTTCGCCAGGATGTGGAGCAGCGACTCCTCCCACAGCTGGTGGGAGCGAGAGCGCAGACAGTCTGGAAAGCAGTCTCGGCACCACCTGTGAAGGTGGGCTCCTGCACAGGCTATGAGGCAGCGGTTCTACTCCTAAGCACACACCCGAGCCAGACCTCTGCATGGGCGCAGCTGGAAACGGGCAACAGAAGTGCTGACAGAAGCACTGATTCTAACAGCTCCCCCATGGAGGCATCAGCAGTGAACGGATGGTAGTTAGCAAACATGGGTGAGGAAAAGAAAAACTGCAGGAAAACACCAGGAAGGAATGAGCCGCGGCTGTGGACAATTGGGGTGAACTTCCCAGACAAGTGGGGAAAGGAGCAGGTCACAAAGAAAGCATCAAGCATGACTCCATTGTTACAGCCAGTTCATAAGCAGGTGAAACTGAAGGCGATGTTGTTCAGGAATGTATGAATCAGTAGCGAAATGTAGAGAAAAGCGAGGGGGACAGTCATCGCCAAAGCCAGGGCAGGGGCCAGCTTGAGGGGGAAGAGAAGGACTTGTGACTGGACAATACACGGGGATCCTGACACAGTAGAGTCGATTCCTCAATCCAGTGTGGTTATATGGATGCTTGTTGTATTACTGTGTGATATGAAATAATATTCAAAAGACAAAATCCCTAAAAGCAACTTAAAGGTCAGTGGTTCAGCTGAAGCCAGAAGGACTAATGACTCCCATAGGCTATATGACCATCCCTAGAAATATAAAAACCTAAAGATCTTTTTTTTTTAAAATTCAGGAAAATCAAGATTCTAATGTTTTAGGAAAAATAAGTAAGAATAGAGGTCAGGAATTATTTTACGAAGTCGTAAATGTTTCAGTTACAGTTCTAACATCAGAGTTTAGGAAGGCAGGTGAGCATCGCATTCAGAAACCCTGACACACAGGTGTGCCTCAAGGATTCTGGAGCCAGACTGCTGTGACTAAGCTGCAACATCAGGGAGACCCTGGACAAGCTTACTAAGCTCAGTTTTCTGATCTGTAAGATGCATGCAAGGGCTGTGCAGTGGTTAAGACTTCACCTTCCAATACAAGGGGTGTGGGCTGATCCCTGGTTTGGGTGCTAAGATCTCACATGCCTTGAGGCCAAGAAAATAAAATGTAAGATAGGAACCATACTGTAACAAATTCAAGAAAAACTTTTAAAATGGTCCACATCAAAAAAAAAAAAAAAAAACTTTAAAAGCAAAACAAAACAAACCAAAAACCTGATAAATACTCTCCATCTCAGAGAACTGCTCTGAAGATTTTTCTGAATTAATATTAGCAAAGTAAATGCCGTTAGTTTGGTTTTTTTTATAGTGATGCATCAAAGAATTATTCACAAGTTCTTGCCATTAGGAGAATTTACCACAGAGTTCCTCACATGATAAGCTCCTAGATAAAATAAAATCTTATTCTGAAATCAAACCTGTATACAAAGCAAGCATCATTCAATGGCAGAAGCTAAAAAAAAGTTTAATATTAAAAATGATTTTGAAATGGGACTTTCATAAAGGTTCTGAAGGTAAAACAAAACACAATAAAATAACCCATCTTTGGGTCTTTGTATGTTGGAGACATAGTGGCATTTGAAAAATTATCACACAAAACAAAACAAATACAACATTGCATCTGTTTGCTCCTCTGAATCACTTGGTTCCTGGTGATAAGTCTGGTGTCCCTTAGTAGGGTGGTGGTGGTGGGGTAGTCGCTCAGTTGTGTCTGACTCTTTGCGACCCCATGGATTACAGTCTGCCAGGTTCCTCTGTCTATGGGATTCTCCAGGCAAGAATACTGGAGTGGGTTGCCATTTCCTCCTCCAGGGGATCTTCCCAACCCAGGAATCCTGCATTGCAGGCAGATTCTTTACCACCTGAGCTACAAGGGAAGCCCCTAGTAGGGTAGAGTTTCCCTCAATTTGGGGTCCAGGTCCATGCCCTGGGAAAGATATTGTACTGCCGTCCCATGGCCCAAGGTAACCTAAGCAACAGGCAAGGAAATAAATAGGCAGTAAGAGGTGGTGCTATTATAATGAACTCTCTCCACTTCCTGGGTGCACACCAGTTAGTAATCCTGCAACAGGAAAACTATTGGCAATGGGCTCTGAAGGCCTGTATATCTTTCTCCTAAGCTTCTTATTTTGGAAAACTCCAGATCTATGGAAATGGTATAAAGACAGGAGATTTCCCATCATCAAGATGTAATAGTTGTTACTCTCTGGCTACAGCTGCATCATTTTTCTCTGAACCCTCTAGAAGTAGCTGGAAACTTTATGACATCATACTTTTATATTTCCAAATAATAAAGACTCTACTCTCTCACAGAGGAACAATGTGATAATCACAAATCAGGTGTTAATGCAATATTATTACCTAATACCCACCCCATAGTCTCATTTCTCAGCTGTCCAACAATGCTTATGGCTTCAGTTTCCCCATTCAGAACCCAGGGCAGGACTGTGCATTTCAAAGCCTTTGATTATCCCTGAGATATTTTAAAGTCTAGGGTATCCATCCATGCATACATGCTAAGTCGCTTCAGGCATCTCCGACTCTTGGTGACCCTATGGACTGTAGCTCTGCAGGCTCCTTTGTCCATGGGGATCCTCCAGGCAAGAATACTAGAGTGGATTTCCATGCCCTCCTCCAAAGGATCTTCCAGACCTAGGAATTGAACCTGTGTCTCTTATGTCTCCTGCACTGGCAGGCAGGTTCTTTACCACTAGCACCACTTGGGAAGCCCAGGGCATCCCTAGTCTAATATAATTAATATGATGCATAAAACACTCAAATTTATCTTCTGAAATCACCAAATGGAATGTTTTTGGAGAATGTGTTATGAATAACAATAGTATGGTCCAAGCCTGATGTGTATTTCCATTTGTTTATAAAATATATTTTCCTCATTTAGGCTTGATTAAAAATGTCTTTTACCCCAATAGTAAGAAATTTTAAAGTTAAACTCTAAGAACAAATATATTGAATCAATTTGACAGCAATATGGCAAAAACCTGTGTTTAGCGGCAGTAGCATCATTTTTCTCTGAAGCTGGTAAACATCCTAGACTGTCAGCAATAAAATTTGGGGGAATCTTTTCCTTCTAGACTCAAGTTATTATTTTAGAGTTTCATTGCCAACTTCCAATCCTTTGTACTAAGAGTGTGATGACATGAATAAGGGTAAGCAACAGATAATCACATGAGCCATTTACAGGAGAATACAGAACATGGGGTTTTTTGTCTTGTTTTTTTGGCAGTTGATTTATTTCACTTTGCAAAAGCTTGGTTAGGCTCAGATGAATACTGCTTTGTATTCTGAGCTCTTATCTAAGTGCCCTGCCCTAGCAGGAAAAAAAAACAAACCAACCCAAACGGATTTGCTGAATTAAAAGCCCGGAGCAGCAGGAGAGAACAGGCTGGGAACACGGTGGTGCTGCTTAATGGGTGGTGATTCCTGCACACCCACCCCTGCACCCCTATTTATTCCCCCTCACACCAGTGCGCTTGTCTTTATGAGTTGTAAGTCCCTCTTCTCCGTTCTCAGTTCAATCCTAGGAAAATACCACATACACAATTCACACTTGCTTTATTCCTGGATGGCTGTTCGGAGCATGCACCTGTGTGGCGGGGCTGGTGGGGATGCCAGTGGTCGTTGGTGACAGAAAAATCAGAATCAGAGCGTGAAGAGTGTTCCATATACAGGTCTGGGCTCCTGAAACTGGGAACAGTCAACCTCTGCACCCCTAATTTCCCTAGGCTATCCAGGCACTGGTTTACTAACTCAATCAACAAGTGCTTATCAACAGTCTTCTTAGACTTCCTTCCTGCATTCAACAAACACTGCAATGCCTACCACGTTTAGGGGCCTGTGCTAAGTGCTGTGGGTACAAGTGAAGGAGACAGGTCCAGGCTTTTTAGTGAAGCGAAGACTACAGCTGGGGTGGGGGGCGATGTGGACGGAACAGGATAAGCTGTGAGCACAGATCACCTCACTGTGGAATGAAAATATCTGCTGCCACATTGGTGGGCAAGAAACGTCACAGCCATCAGCTGTTTCTGGCCTCCAGAGGTGAATGAGGGCTCCCCGAACAACAAAAGGATTGTCACGAGCTGAAAGTAGAGTTATTTTATTTGGTCAACATCAACCAGGGCAGGAGTGCTGAGAAGCAGCTGAGACATGGTGAGATCGAGTGTGCGGGCTGGGGGGTGACTAGCCAGGACGCTCAGTGCTGATGCCAGCTCCTAAGAGGCTCTTCTCTTTCTTTCACTCCCTGGACCACTCCTGGTCACAACTGAGACCCTGGGCAGTGGGCCTCAGCTCCGAGCTGACCACACAAGCAGACGAGGAAAGCACACAGCTGACGACACTCATCATCACGGAGAACGAGTGCCCCAGGCTGGGCCCCGGCATTTCTGGATCTGCCAAGTCTCAGTACCGCTGTGGGAGCTAGGTCGATTATGCTCTAATGAGCCAAGCTCCTTTTGCCTCGACACACCAACATTTCAAATCTTATTTTAAATATAAAATATTAACGTAGATAGTACTTTAAAACACTTAAAAACATTTGAAAATTAAAAATCCTTTAAAAAATTTAAAGCTAAAAAATTAGAATATTTAAAATCTTATTTTCTCCAGCCTTTCTGCAGGGGACAGACAGGAGGAGGAAGGCTCAAAAGATTTAATTTATTGACAAATTCCATATGAACAAAAGCCTGCAACTGCAATTGAAATGTGGCTTTAAAGTCACTGTCCACTAAGAATGGCAAGAAAAAGGCTTCTGGGTGACGAAGAAGAACCTTACTCGGCCCACGGCCCTTCTGCAACCACTGTGCACGTGTTCAGCGTAAAGCAGGGGCGGGGAAGGAGAAACATCAAGCAGAAATGCAATCGAGCACCTCCCAGTGCTTTCTACTTGTCTGACCCATCACATTAATGGAGGCTTCAGGTACTCCAGAAAACCTACTGCAAATCCCCATTGATATCCTGACTCTACTCATAAATGAAGGTGCTCGGAAAGCAGTTTTCACAGCAATTTTCCTCAACAGTAATGCAAAATTCTGTTTGTGATGCCATTTACACTTGTCTAGCAAGGTTATCAGAAAACCAGCCCCTTTACAAATCTTCTACACTTGGAACAAACATTAGAAGGTCACAAAATGATCATTTGTGCTACTAAGGCGCCAATGATGATGTTAATGACGGGAAAAGAAAAGCAGGAAGGCAGCAGTGAGCATGTCTGTGTGAACAGGCATCTTTGTGCTTTCAATTTATGTAAAAAAATTAATTTGTTAATTTCTAGGACTAAGAAGTCTAAAAGGTTTTTCAAACAAGATGAGACATATCCCATGATATCAATCATGAAAATCTAGGCACTGCTGATGAGATCTCTGTCTCAACTGAGAGGATAGCCGATGCAATTCCCGTGTCTGCTGTTGTGGTCACAGCTAGCCTCGCTATGGTCCATCGGTTCATCCCTCCAGGCTCAGCAGAGACCATGTGAGGATGAGGAGCAGGTGGAGTGAAGGGCAGGGCCAAGAAGCCAAGGAGGCCAAGAGGTCCGCGTGTTGAACCCAGTGCTGGCCTTGAGCATCGTCACTGGCCATGGCCCTGGATGCCAGGAGGGAAGGTCCTATACTGTTCATCTGACTACCCTCCAGCAGCTGGAAGAATTCTGGGGGAAAATTAGATGATGACTCAGAGCTGAAGGAGGGAAGGCCTTGCAGATAAGAAGGAAAATGACAGAGGTCATTGATGTGCAGGAAATTCTAGCCACGGCCAAACCTGTATCAATGCAGTTCTTTGCTTAGTCTTTGAAGGGAGGAATCACCAGTGATGAGTTTTAAAGTCACTGTACACACTTGGCATATAGGAATTGAAAACTACTCATAAAAATATATTAAACATCTATAGTTAGAACGTAATTCCTTTAAATGTAACCAGTCATTACATTGAAAAAGAAAGTGGACCATCAATCTGAACACATTTCCAGCACACGGTTGTGTAAGGGGGCCCGTGGAACAGGAGACCAGGGCACAGGCATTTATGCGGACAGCACAGAGACCACCCCTCGTTACTGTCTGTCATCATCTGAGTATCGTCCAGCTGTTACCACACCTCCTGAAAATCTGGGACAACAAATTGAACTTTTCACTTTTTGGGGGGCACATGAGATCTTAGTTCCCTGATCAGGAGTCGAACCCATGCCTGCTGCAGTGGAAGCATGGAGTCTTAACCACTGAACCACCAGGGAAGTCCCAGGGACAACAGATTGAACTGACAGAGAAACATGAGTGGCCTGATGACAGCTGTGAGCATCTCTGTTTCATTTTCTCTCAAATTTAAAGAGAGAAAGATGCAATCACAAACTTGTTCATGTGCACATTATAAATGAGCCTCTGAACATAAGCCCTCCATCTGAAGTCAGGCAGTGTGGCCCACAGGTGACGATGCTCTCAGGCGCCTTCTGGTCCTATTTCGGGCCCCTGCCCCCACCCCAGCAGCAGATGATGGTGCCCAGGGTGCCCCGAGTAGCTGCTGGTCACAGCGTGGGGAGGTCCTTACCTGGAGTGGGACGAAATCTCGCTGAGGTCGCCCAGGCTGCCGTCAGCAGCACCACTGGTGGAGATGCCAGGCGCATAGCCATGGACCGCGTACATCTTGGCCTGCTCATCGTCGGGCCCCGGGATGTCGGAGTCGGCCCACTGCTCTGCCCGCCCGTGGACCAGGGACCGGCTGCCCGCCAGGTGCACGGGGCCCAGGACTGCAGCGGGCATGCACGGGGCAGTGTCGATGCCGCTGTCCGTGGAGGCCCCCTTGATGTACGTCAGCCCCAGCAACTCGGGATCCATGAGGTCCCCAGACCCAAAGTGCTTGTCGTCACTGTTGCTGGAGGTGTTGCTGGACAGCGTGTTGCTGCTGGAGTGGCTGGAGCAGCTTTTATCTCCGATCTGGAGAAGAGAGAAACGGGGAGGCTTCAGACAAACCCCACACTTTGCTTCTACACGAAGGCGATTATTCTCCCCAGACTCACGAAGCTACAAACCTGATGATTTCACCCAAATGCTTTCTACTCGCTTGTCAGAGGGAAAGCAAGGCAAGAATTTAGTTTTCAAAAACATCCTGGTTTCATGCAAAAGTCCCTGAGTCACAATTCCTCCCATCATTCATCTTAAGTTAAATGGGTATCTTTTCAAGTCTTTGCTCAATTATCTGTACATGAACACAGAAGTATTGCCACACTGTCACTAATCGGAAGGTAGTTAACAAAGGCTCTAGAAGCTGGGGAAGTACATGGGGAATTAAGAGGAGGAAAGCAGCCTCTCTTCAGCGAACGCTCCTGTGACATTGACATGGACAGGGCCAGTCCTGGGTGTGGGGCAGAAGACCCGGTGTGAATCACAGTGGGGGGTCTTGGCCAGTCACTTAGCTCCTCTCTGCTTATTATACTGAGCACAGGGATCACTGTGCAGACCCAACTGGCTCACGTGTGCAGACGCACTGTGTAAGCATGAGCCACACACCCTCCTAGAGCCCCAGTCAGGCAGACCCGGGGATGACGAGAGGGGGTGCTCTTGGGGGTGCACTGAGATCCCTGGAAGATGAAACCAAGAGAGCAGACTAAATGTCCCATCTGATGATGTCCTGGTACAGCCATGACCCCGCCTCTCAGCCTGGATGGTCAGCCAAGGGCTGACAGTCCTGGGTGTGGGGCAGAAGACCTGGTTTGAATCACAGTGGGGGGTCTTGGCCAGTCACTTAGCTCCTCTCTACTTATTATACTGAGCACAGGGATCACTGTGCAGACCCAACTGGCTCACGTGTGCAGACGCACTGTGTAAGCATGAGCCACACACCCCCCCAGAGCCCCAGTCAGGTAGACCTGGGGATGATGAGAGGGGGTGCTCTTGGGGGTGCACTGAGGTCCCTGGAAGATGAAACCAAGAGAGCAGACTAAATGTCCCATCTGATGATGTCCTGGTACAGACATGACCCCGCCTCTCAGCCTGGATGGTCAGCCAAGGGCTGTGGAGTCATGAGACCCAGCCACCTGTGATTTTCAAGTGGTTTGGCCCTTCCTTCTTTTCATCTTCCCTTTCTTCCTTCCGTCCCTCTCTTCTTCCTTCTTTCCCTCCACCCTATCAGATCCTTAAGCAAATCCCGATGCCCTTTGTTATCACAAGTGGATCTTCTCAAGTTCACCCCCGCCCCCACTCTCCCTGTCCTGGTGCCATCAATTGGCTCCACGAGGCCAGCTCAAGACAAGGTTAGGATACAGCTGAGAGATGGTGGCCACATGTTTGCAGGTAACAGCTCTGAGGCTGGCCAATGACACGTGGAGGAGGAGAGGAAAATTAACAGCTCAGGTCAGGACCTGATAAGATGTCTGCAAATTTTGAAAAATGAGCTATGTTATAAGGTTGGCTTCATCTGGCAACAACTAAAATTCCTGTTTGCACATTTAACTGGTAGTTTCATTTCACTGAGCTACAGTCACCTACATGGCTCCTTTTCATTTCTGCAAAAAGTAAAGAGAACCACATGGGCGCTGTGGGACCACAGGATGCCTGTCGGCTGGCTCTCCGGTGTCCCTGCATGCTGTCTGCAGGCGCTCCCTGAGTGGCCAGCACCAGGCAGAGCATCACCCGCCGCACACCCTGCTGCACAGGTTCTGCTCCTGGGTTTTGCCCACACGTGGATAACAGTCAACAGATTAAAACTACCAAGGATCAAAGGCTGAGGTTACAATCCTGGCTTTGCCAATAATTTACTGGATGACTTTTCTCTGTATTTCTTTATAAAAGGAGAGAGAGAAAAAGAAAACCTTTTTTTTTTTCTTTTTAACTTCACCCAAGACCCTTATGAGATAAGAGATGCCACTGAGAATCCCTGGCAACAATGCTAATAAATCACGAGTGCTGAGATGAACAGAAGCCTTAGTTCATGATGACAGGACTCACGTGAGAAAGCTTATTGGGAGAATCCTTGCAACCTCCGTCTTTCTGCAGGCCTCTTTCTTTATAGGAGCTCAGGACTTTGGAAGGCGGGCCATGCCATTTGGTTTCTGTCACACACAGAGAGAGACGCCTTAAAGATCTAATTTCTAGTGTTAACAAAGGAGCAGAGAAACTCAGGGGCCAAACACATGGTTCAGTGACCATGATCAGGACTGTGGTTGTAGGACCTTCTGGTCCTACCCAGAGAGAGGCCCTCAGAGCAGACGAACCGCCCCACGATGCCCACGGTCTGTTTCCCAGGCACCACCAGCTATGGGCACAGCCCAGACAACCTTGGGGTGCCCAGCAGCCACCGTGCACAGGGCGGGATGGCGCTGACCAGACGTGAAAGGGTGAATAAGCCAGTGAAGGGGGAGGAAGGGGTGGGGTCCGTATTACCGGGGTGTCTGCTTGCTTCCACGGTGTCCTCCCGCTCCCTGGCCCCGTCACACTCCAAAGGGCCGGAGCCCTGGTGCTCCAGCAGCAGGGGAGATTGGCACCTGGAGAGAGCACAGAGCTGAGCCTCGCCCGCACGCTGCCCCGCCAGTGTCCCCCGCGGGCGCTGTCCCCAGAGGGGCACTCCCGGGGGTCCCTAGTCAGAGGCGCTCTGCGGCCACAGCCCTGCAGAGAGAGCAGCTTAAAGCATCTGCACCTGGGGGCTCCCCTGTCAGCCCTGGGTCCTAAGAGGCACCTGGATAACACCATCTGCAGATAAAAGAGGAGGCCAGCACCGGGGGCTGAAAGGACTGCTGGGGTCCCTGATGGACTGAGCACAAGCTCGCTGCTTTCGCCGTCACTGCTTCTCTTGTACTGATGCTTCTTTATATCACATTTTTTAAGGAAAAAGAAAATCAGATCCATTTGCCGCTAGACTACAGCTAGCCGGACTTTTGTTTTATGAAAATCCCCAAATAGGACAATTTACTCTTCCAAAGGAAACTGCAGAAAACTTATTTTTGTTACAAAGGGACCCTTTCTTCCAGAATCCCAGTTCTAAATCCTGATCTGCAGAAAAACCCAAGACGTGGTTTTTCCAATGACATAAAGCCTCTCCCATCTACTTTAAAAATGCAACTCAAAGGAGAAAGATTCTTTAGGTACAACTTTTTTGTTATTGTTGCTCAGTCTCTAAGTTACATCCAATTCTTTGTGACCCCTTCAACTGCAGCACACCAGGCTCCCCTGTCCTTCACTATCTCCCAGAGTTTGCTCAAATTCACGTCCACTGAATCTGTGATGCTATCTAACCATCTCAAAAATTAAAGAAAAAAAAAAAGTACAACTTTTAAGAACCCCATCCAGCATCTAAGGTTGGGAATGCATGTAACTCGGAGTATAAATCTCTACTTCTCAGCTCAAACCAGGAGAGAGGGTGCCAGGAGAGGGTTTCTCTGGGGACATGTGAGAGCAGGAACAGAAGCGTCTCTTATCTGGTGCAAGCCCCCCAGCTGCCTGGATGGTCCATCACCTCATCAGTGCACCCAGCTCCTTCGAGCGGCAGAGGCGACACTGGCTTGCAACAATGCACAGAAACACTGCTGCTGGGGGCAACGCCTGCATTTCCCTGCAAAAATACAGCCACATCCCTGGAGGGGCCCTCCTCTTTCCAATAGTGTACGGCTGTTTCCTCGAGTTACGGCATCTGCCCATGCTGGGTCCTGTCCACAGGTGCCCTCAGGCCCCTGGGTGCTGTGTGCACACACGACAGGCACGGCCCTGCATTCAGCTTCCACTTGCTCTCACAGGAGGCAGAGGAAATGTGTCACATGCTAAATCTGCCTCCTCAGACACTGGGCTGTGTTTTGGGGAGAAAAACACTTTCAAGAATGGCTGTGAATTTACTCCTTGTCAGCAATGTAAGTGAAGGGAAACTCCCAAGGGCCATCACCCACAGAGTCTCCAAATCCTTCATTTTCATGTGTTCAAAAAGACTCTCCCTTATTAAAAAGAAGAAAACAGACAAGCTCAGGATATAGACAAATGAGCCCACTTTCACAGAAATGATGAGCCACCCAGTCTGGAAGCACTGGTCCTAACAAAGTCCTATCTGAGCCCCCTGTCCCCCAGTGGCCTCGTGCACGGTAAGCGCTTCCATGTGCCCGGGAGACATGTCCCCCCCAGGAGCCCACAGAAGGGGAAGGAGCGGTACCCGTCGTATCCAGCTTGTGGCCTCCAGGGTCCGCTGCTGCCGGGTCCGGGGTCGCTGGACGATGACTGGTTGCTGGGCGAGCTTCTGAAAGGTTGGCCACAGTCAGTAACAGACCAGGGATTGAATCCAAGTCTCTTTACGTCTCCTGCACTGGCAGGTGGGTTCCTGAACACTAGCGCCATCTGGGAAGCCCAAAAGAATTCCTTATAATTTACTAAATTATATGTTAATAAGGGAGGTTCTATAGACCCCTTCCCTTCCAGATGTCAGCCCTTTACACCCAGGCTACCTACTGTATGTATTTCTCTGAATATTATAAACTCAGCAGACCTTTGAGAAGGGAGATCCAGAGCCCAGATGATTTACTGTCAAGTTAGAGTTACACCATTCCTGCACTCATTCGTGGAAAAACAGACTGGAGAAGTCAGAGGAAGACCATATGTTTTAATCCTAGTAATTATTATTAACACCTACAGAGACTTGCGTCTATGGGCCTGGAGTGTTCTAAGCAGTTAACCTCTGTGGACTGATTCAGTCATCACAATGCCCTGTGGAGGTCTCCATTATTGCTAAGTTCACTTTTCAGAGGAGGAAACTGGAGAATGGGAGAGGCCGAGGAACAGGATGGGGTGATGACACGTTCAGCGGGCGGCCTGGCTCAGTGTCTGCTTACGACATATGCTCTATTAGATGAAAGCCTAACGGAATTCTGAGGAACCTCTTGATGTGTCCACAGCCCAGAAGTTATGTGAAAGTTAAAACAAAGGGAGTAAAAATCAGTAATAACAACAAACCTACTATGTTGTTCACTTAAAATTGCCTCTCCGTGACATGTCTCAAAATCCTCACCAGCTTCTAACGCTATTGGACTTCACTCTTGAACAGGTGCACCCTCTCAGAGAAAAACTTAATTTTAAACTCAACTCCCTCCGCTTAAAATGAGAGAGAAAAGCAAAGAGATGCCAACAATCTTAGGACCTCTGAAAATACTGCGACCATTAGGATGACAGGATTTCATCAATGCTTTCTGTGGCTTTGTTTTCTTTATACTCAAAACTGTTCACGCTTATCTAGAGGCTCCTGCAGAATGGTTTCCCACCGTGGTTTGGAGAGCGAGTTGACAGGAGGATTATTGTGGAGAGGTACAGTGGTGGCCCTGGGGGGTGATGTCTGTGGGGGAGACCTGCATGCCATCGGCACCATCACTGGCTGGGACCACAAGCGCCCCAGCATTCGGGGCCTGCCTGGCGGCCCTGCTGCCCACGTGGTCTGAACAAGCTAATTCAGAAATGAATTCAGAAATAAGCCACACACAAGTTCCCCAACCATGTGAAGTTATAAGTCAGGGCTTCACCAGGGCCACCAGCTTACCTGGTACCATCGGGCAGCTTCCGGTCGAAGGAGGTGCTGCGGGGGATGGCGGCCTGGCCCTGCGGGAGCAGGGGCTGGCACTGCAGCCGGTCGGGCGTGCCGGGCACCGGGGAGACCCTGGGCAGGGGCTGCAGGGCGGGCGTGGGCACGCGGTGCCACGTGGTGTTCCTCCGGAAAGGAGTCTTGTACTCGCAGGGGGCACCCTCGCTGTCGAGCTTGTACTCCACCATGGGGATCCGGCAGAGCTCCGAACACCCTCTGTGAGCCAAGAAGAGACGGTCAGGGGGTGCCCAGCAGTGAGCCATCAGCCCGACTCACTCACGGCCTCGACGTGCTTCTCAGGACTCACAGGCGATGGTGCAAGGCCATCCACCCTCAGTAGCAGACCTGGCTGACGGTGACCTTGTCTGCATGTCACCCGGCACAGACCAGGAGGATCTGGTCTCAAGCCTGTGGCTTTGGTTAACCTTGGCTGTCAGGGGTTTCATGCACAGGCTCTGTCTCTCCAAGTAGTTTGCAAACTCCCTGGGCAGATTGGGATTGATCTTTAACCAATCTGCATACACGGAATTATTTGCATTGAAACTGGGTGATAAATAAACATTAATAGATTAAAAACACCTCATATATAATCTGAGCAGATACATAAAAGTACAGTCATATAATCAGGAATTTGAGTCACATGTCACTTGTTTCCCCTGAATCTGAGAAAAGTGAAAAACAAATTCAACAAAAGCTGTCACAAGTCAAGGAAAAGCCTGAATGCCCATCCTGTTGAAGTCACATTAGTTATTACTTAGTTATCACTTAGTGAGTCACTACTTAGTCACTTAGTTGCCATGGTCACTCCCGTGAACTCAAGTCATGGCTCCCCACAAGGTCATCTCCCACAGGATCAACTGACCGGTCAGGGATGTAAGACCCTTTAGCCTGGAAAATGTGATCTAAGTCAGACATCCCTCCAGTTAACATTGTGCACACATGATTGATACTACTGACTTGACTAAAGTGATCTGCAAAGCCAACTGGTGTTTGGCGAGGACACAGGAAGACTGGGTGAATCTCAAATTTGAGTGTCAGGGTAAATTGTCCCAATTTAGCATGTGGATGAAGCCTTGTCTCTCCCTAGACATTCTGCAGTCAACAGAAAAACTTTCTCATATGCACCCTCTAGGAAATCTATCAGTGCAATAAGGTATCACTCTTTAAAAAGGAGAATTGCATCCTCAAAACAGTGGAGTAGCACTTTTCAGAATCATTACAAAGGAACAAAGAGAACAAAAACCAAAAACAAACTTGATCATCAACAAAGCTGATGATACAGTACATAAAGATAGAAGGCAAGTGGTGGAATGCCAGTAGTGGAGCAGAGAAAGGCAAACCCAAGATGTACAAGGAGAAAGACAAGGAGAAGCAGGCCCACCCCCTTGCACACCTGAGCAGGGGCAGGAACAGGAAGCAACAGGCGCCACAGAGGGTGGAAGAGAAAGGGAAGGAGTGAACAGTGAGACCCCAGCCAGCACTGGGCCCTCAGGCGACAGCGGGCAGCAGCAAAGGCCAAGGGGACACACCTGAAAGGAGGAACTCAAGGCCAGGAGGCACCCGGAAGGGCAGAGATGGAAACAAAAGGTGAAGTAAAAGCCTGCTGGAAACGAGATCCCCAAGTCACTCCTCATTCCTTCAAACCCAGCTTCAGGATCATCCTGCAAAGCACAGGGATCTTTCTCCACAATAAAGGCAAGCAGGTGCAAGCCACCGCGTCGCCCTGCCATGGGGCTCACCACCCTCAGAGAAAGAGAAGGAACCTGTGAAAGTGTCAGTCGCTCAGTTGTGTCCAATCTTTGCAACCCCCGGACAGCGGCCCACCAGGCTCCTCTGTCCATGGGATTCTCCAGGCAAGAATAACAGAGTAGGTTGCCATTCCCTTCTCCAGGGGATCTTCTCAACCCAGGGACCAAGCCCAGGTCTCCTGAATTGCAGATTCTTTATCACTGAGCCACCAAGGAAGCCCGAAATTTAAAAAAAGGATGACCGAAATTCAAAATAAAAAATCCAGTAGGACAGATGGAAGGTAAACAGAGGAGCTTTTCCCTAAAAGCCAGAAAATCCAAGTTCAATCTACGAAGTCTAAATTCACCTAACAGAGAAAGAGGAGAGGAAAAGGTGGGGAGGAAATGATCGACAAATAATAACACAAAATTTCCAGAACTAAAGGGGAAAAAAGATGTGTCAAGACATATTATGGTAGAATTCAGACTCCTAGGTTAAAGCAGAGATCCTAAGTGTCTGGAGAGGAGAAGGCGGGGGGGGGGGCAGTCCCCACACAAAGGTGGGACACAGAAAAGTTCATTCTTCGAAACAGCAAAATGGGGTAAAAGTTCTAATCTGTCAAATCAACAGTACTTGGAGCTTGGGATGGAGAGAGAGAGAGAAATCAAAACAGTGTTCTGCTTTTTGGATCAGGAAGCCAAATGAATGGTGGTGCTAGCTACCCTTTGAGAATAGAAGGGACGAACTAAAGGAAGCATCATAAAAAGATATGATGTTTGTTGCAGAGAATGAATAGGGATTATCTCTTTATCAGTAAACTTGACTTATCTTTTAACTCTCCTTCCCCTAAAGCAAAATTCATCTCTTTTACCTCAGTTCAGTTAAGTTCAGTCGCTCAGTTGTGTCTGACTCTTCGACCCCATGAATCACAGCACGCCAGGCCTCCCTGTCCATCACCAACTCCTGGAGTTTANAAGCCAACTTTTTCACTCTCCTCTTTCACTTTCATCAAGAGGCTTTTTAGTTCCTCTTCACTTTCTGCCATAAGGGTGGTGTCATCTGCATATGTGAGGTTCTTTTACCTAGGCAAGTTTAAATTACTCTGGATTTAATGAATGTGCTAAATAACTGGACAAATTTAATAAGCCAAGATTTATATTGGGTTGCATTTTTTAAAATAAAGTGCTAAGATGCTACAATTTTTTGCTCACGGATTCATACTGTTTCCAAGTGTCTTTCTATTTAATTAGATACAGCATCCCCTGGGACTACTGATTCATGCATATGGCCAATGACCTAACCAGAAATCATGAAGGTGGGATATTAGCATACATGAAAACATCGAGAAAACTGAATCCTGTCTTCCACCCTAACCAAGTCACTGGATGTTCAGGTGAACCTCAGGCTTTGGGGTCTCAAAGGCTAAAGCTGCCTGAATCATCCAAGTCAAGGAATCTCTCGCAGTGAAGAGTCCTGGAATTGTGTTTTGAATGAAAGGCATGTGAACCTTGACTCTTAGGGGACAAAGGGCACATTTCAGCGGTTGCTTTGTTTCCAGTTTACTGGGTTTGGTTTAAAAAGAAAGAACAAAAAAGGAAAAGACAGACAGCTGGGTAGTACAGCGTCTTTAATTCATGCTCACAGACTGTAGTCTTTAGTAAGAGGCTGTAATTTAGCTTCAATCTTGGATGAAAAAAATGCTATATAAATGCATAATCATGACTAATATTTTTGAGACCACTGACAAAAACTTGTGCCACACATTAGGCTGAAGAGAGAATGGGGGTTGAATATTTCATTTCCATCCTCTTGCACAAGGTCATATGTAAATGAGCTTTTAATACTAAACACGGGCATTCTTTTGCCCTCATGAAAATAAGCTTAAAGAATGACTTGATTTTAAAATCAAAATTAATTCTGCTATGACACTTTTATGGTAACTACTCTCACAAACTAGATATTTGCTTTGTTTACTTCTTATGACCAAGACATCAAATAATATGACTAAGTATAACATATCATCAAAGCTAGTCAAACTCAGTTCTGTTCCATATGTATGAGGAAATCCTTGAAGGATACATATGGAAATTCAGCCAATTTTTAGGGAAATGGGAAGAGGTGTAAAATAAAATTACAAATGAGCCTTCAGAGGTGCTCAGGCTGCAGGAGGTACCAGAAACTGTGCCTGCCCTTGAGCACACTGCTCTGTCCAGCTGGTGTGGTCTGAGCACAGGATGCCAGGCAGGGTCCCCACTCATCGGAGCATCCGGCACTGGTGAAGGGCACTTGTTACACATTTCTGGCCAGTGAACAAAGGGCAATTCAAACCCAAACTGACCAAATACAAAAAATATCCACGAAGTCATTTCTGAAGAGAGTCGCACAGTCATGTCTGCCTCTCTGTGATCCTATGGCCTATTGCAGCCAGACTCCTCTGTCTGTGGAATTCTCCAGGCAAGAGTACTGGAGTGAGTTGCCATTTCCTTCTCCAGGGGATCTTCCTGACCCAGGGATCGAACCTGGGTCTCCTGCACTGCAGGCAGATTCTTTACCAACTGAGCTACTAGGAAAGCCCATTTCTGAACAAGTGAGCTGCTAATCTTGTGTGCAGCTGAGCTGTTGTTGAAGATGTCCATCTTTTGTTTTCCTACATTGGTGGAGAAATCACAGACCTCACTGAGAAACGTGCTCCATCTCCTTTTAACACACCGAATTGAGTCAGTGGATTTGAGCTGCATTTCTAGTTTCTGGCACCGTTTTCATGGTATGCCTGCCAAAAGAAGGCACTCAAAGGCATAGATAAGGCTGGGGTATCACTAGCACATGAGCACTTACGACTACCTCTTTGCTCCATAACAAACGTCATCTACTTACGCTTCTAATTACCATGCTAGGGAGGGATCAAAACAAACTCAGCTTCAGGGATCAAAACAAATTTAACTTCTAACATTGACTGTCTAGAGAATAACTTTTCTGAGTCTCATAATCTCTCCCAGTCAGCTGTCCTAGAAGGGAAAACATTCTGTAGACCAAGAGCATTGAAAGTAATGTGCTGGTTAAAAAATGTGATGCTGCAAAACTATCAGAATAACGAGTGTTCCCTTAGTTGGAGCGCTCAGAGGATCTGAGGTTTGACTGCTTTATTCTGACAAGCAGCCCCTCTTGTTCGTCTACACTTGGCATCGTGGACTCCGTGCGACAGCTCACTCCTCTACCAGGGACACTGAGGAACTTCCTTACATCCACACTCTTCATGTTCTCCCTGCTTCCAGAAGCTGCCTACACCAGGGGTTCCCACCCGTGAGTTTCTCGCCTGTAGCTGCTCCCACTCCCCAGCTTCTAGGCTCAGGCAGCGCGGAGGCTGTGTGCCCTCTGGCTCACAGCTGACAGGCAGTCATGCTCACTGTCCAGCACTGTAGCATGGACCCAGGACTTCAGAGACAACTGGGACGGCCGCCAAATGGCATCATCATCCCTTCCAAGTGATA